GAGATACCCAGCTAGTCCCATTCTCCAACCCTATCTACGTAGCCCTTGCAAGCAGATTCTAAATCCTGAGTAAAGAAGTTTCTCTTCATTTTACTCCTAGCTCTTTTGCTGACAATCTTGAAATTGTGACCCCTAGTTACTGACATACAGTACTAACTAGTGAAAACAGGATATCATGCTTTATCCTGTCAATATTGTCCATAATTTTGAACACCTCAATAAGGTCACCATTTAACCTTTTCTCCTCCAAGGAGGATACACCCAATTTCTCTAATCTTGCATCTAAAATCCCTCATTCCTGATATCATTCTAGTACATCTCCTTTGCACTGTCTCCAGGGCCTTAACATCCTTATAAAGTAAGGTGCCCAGAACGGGTGGCATGGTGGCTCAGTGGTTAGCACTGCTGCCTCACAGCACCAGGGGCCCGGGTTCAATTCCGCTCTTGGGCAACTGCCTGTGTGGAGTTTGTACGTTCTCCCCGTGTCTGTGTGGGTTTCCTCCAGGTAACCTCCAGGTGCTCCAGTTTCCTCCCACTGGCCAAAGATGTGCAGGCTAGGTGGATTGGCTGTGCTAAATTGCCCATGGTGTTCAGGGATGTGTACATTAGGTGGGTTATAGGGGGATGGGTCTGAGTGGGATGCTCTGAGAGTTGGTGTGGACTTGTTGGGTTGAAGGGACTGTTTCCACACCGTAGGGAGTCTAAGTCTAAACAATGTGTTCTGATCAGTGATTTGTAGAAGTGTAACATCACTTCCTTACTTTTAAACTCAATGCCTCTATTCATAAACCTAAGGAACCTATAAGCCTTCTTAACCACTTTTCAACTTGCCTGGCCGCCTTTCAGACAATCATACACATAAATCCTGAAGTCCTTCTGTTCCTGTACTCCCATCAAATTTGAAGCATCGAGACTATATTGGCTCTCTGTTTTTTCTACCAAAATGCATTGCCTGACATTTGACTGCGTTGAAATTCATCTGCTAGGTATGTGCCCATTTAGCAAACCTGTAAATATTTCTCTACAGTCGTTCAGCGTCTTCCTTACAATTCTCTATTCTTCCTAGCTTAGTATCTTCTGCAAGTTAGAGATTTTGCCCTCAACACCCATCTCCAAATCATTTATACCAACAAGAATAAGCAAATGTCCCAATGCCGAACCCTGTGGAACACTACTTTCAACTCATCTCCAGTCTTGAGAAATACCCTATCCCCTCTTTCCTATCCTTTAGCCAATTTCTAATTCATTCTGCCAAAGACCCACCAATCTCAAGCATTTTTGATTTGCTAACTGCCATGTGGTACCATATCAAATGCTTTCTAAAAAATATATAACATCCACAGTACTAACCTCATCCACTGCCAGTATCACCTCGTCAAAGAACTCAATTAAATTGGTCAGACATGTCCTGCCCTTGACAAAGTCATGTTGATTGTCTAGTATTACCTTATTTTTAAGTATTTATTTATCTTATCCTGTATTATGGCCTCCATCAGTTTTCTCACTATTGATGTTAAGCTGAATTGTATACTTTAGATTGAAGGGTCATGTTTGGAAGGGAACTATTTAGCCAGTTATTGATGATTCGTACTGTTAGGGTCTAATCTAAATTTAATCACATGATTTTTGAAAATTAAAGATCTGCGCTGTTTGTCACTGGCCTGTTCAGTGACCAGTGAACCATTTTGGTCAGAGGCTATAATGTATATTGTATTTTGGTCATTCATGGAATGCGGTATCACTGGCTGGACCAGTATTTATTGCTTATCCTCCGTTGCCCTTCAGAAGCTGGTCATGAGCCATTGTCTTCAATGGCTGCAGTTCATTTTATTTTTATTCATTCTTGGGATGTGGGCATTTGCTGGTTGGGCCAGCGTTTACTGCCCATCCCTAGTTTTCCTTGAAGGTGGTGGTGGTGAGCTGCCTTCTTGAACCACTGCAGTCCATTTGATGTAGGTAGCCCCATAATACCATGAGAAGGGAATTCCAGGATTTTGATGCAGCGAAAGTGAGCGTAGATGCAGTTGAGTGAGGGAGCCTTGGTTCTCGAGAGGTCGAACGACTGGTTAAGAGGAGAGGGATGCTTATATAAGGTTTAGGAAACAAGGAGTGGAAAAGGCTCTAGAGGGATACAAGTTAGCCAGGAAGGAGCTGAAGAAAGGGCTTAGGAGAGCTATAAGGGCTATAAGGGGGCATGAGAAAACCTTGGCAGATAGGATCAAGGAAAATTCCAAGGCTTTTTACACGTACGTGAGGAATAAGAGAATGACCAGAGAAAGGGTAGGGCTGATCAAGGATTGTAAAGGGAATTTGTGCACGGAGCCTAAAGAGATAGGAGAGGTCCTTAATGAATACTTTTCTTCGATATTCACAACTAAGAGGGACCTAGTTGTAGAGGACGACAGTGTGAAACAGGCTGGTAGGCTAGAGGAGGTGGATGTTAGAAAGGAAGATGTACTAGGAATTTTGAGGAACTTGAAGAAAGATAAGTCCCCCGGGCCTGATGGGATTTATCCGAGGATTCTATGGGAAGCAAGGGAAGAGATCGCAGGGCCTTTGGCGATGATCTTTTCGTCCTCACTGTCCACGGGTATAGTGCTGGAAGATTGGAAAGAGGCAAACGTCATTCCCTTATTCAAAACAGGGAATTGGGATAACCCCAGAAATTACAGGCCAGTTAGTCTTACTTCAATGGTGGGCAAATTATTGGAAAGGGCTCTGAGAGATAGGATTTATGATCACTTGGAAAGGCACAGTTTGATTCATGATAGTCAGCATGGATTTGTGAGGGGTAGATCATGCCTCTCAAACCTTATTGAATTCTTTGAACAGGTGACCAAACACGTGGATGAAGGTAGAGCAGTGGATGTGGTATACATGGATTTAAGTAAGGCATTTGATAAGGTTCCCCATGGTAGGCTCATGCAGAAAGTAAGGAGGCATGGGATAGGGGGAAATGTGGCAGATTGGATTCAGAATTGGCTGACCCTTAGAAGACAAAGGGTGGTGGTGGACGGAAAATATTCAACATGGTGCTCAGTTACGAGTGGTGTACCACAAGGATCTGTTCTGGGTCCTCTTCTATTTGTAATTTTTGTAAATGATTTTGAATGAAGGAGTGGAAGGGTGGATTAGTAAGTTCGCGGATGATACAAAGGTGGTTCAAGTTGTGGATAGTGCGGAGGGCTGTTCTAGGTTACAAAGGGACATTGATAGCATGCAGAGCTGGGCTGAGAAGTGACAGATGGAGTTTAACCCTGAAAAGTATGAGGTGATTCATTTTGGAAGGACAAACTTGAAAGCAGAATACAGGGTTAACGAAAAGATTCTTGGCAGTGTGGAGGAGCAGAGAGATCTTGGGGTTCATGTCCACAGTTCCCTGAAAGCTGCCAACCAGGTGGATAGAGTTGTTAAGAAGGCATATGGTGTGTTAGCTTTCATTTAATAGAGGGATTGAGTTCAAGAGCTGTGAAGTTATGCTCCAGTTGTACAAAAGCCTGGTTCAGCCACATCTGGAGTATTGTGTCCAGTTCTGGTCACCTCATTATAGGAAAGATGTGGAAGCGTTGGAAAAGGTGCAGAGGAGATCTACCAGGATGTTGCCTGGAATGGAGAGAAGGTCTTATGAGGAAAGGTTGAGAGAGCTAGGGCTTTTCTCTTTAGAACGATGAAGGATGAAAGATGACTTGATAGAGGTGTACAAAATGATCAGAGGTATAGATAGAGTGGACAGTCAGAGACTTTTTCCTAGGGTGGAGGTAGCTATTATGAGGGGGCATAGTTTTAAAGTGAGTGGAGGTAGATATAGGGGAGACGTCACAGGTAGCCTCTTTACTCAGAGAGCGGTAGGGATGTGGAATGCATTGCCAGAGAGGGTAGTGGAGTCGGCCTCATTAGGGGCATTTAAGCGGCTATTAGATGGGCATATGGATGATAGCATAAGGTAGGGGTGGAGGTTAGTTTGATCTTAGGATTAGGGTAAAAGTTCGGCACAACATCATGGGCCGAAGGGCCTGTACTGTGCTGTACTGTTCTATGTTCTATATTTCCTAGTCAGGATGGTGAGTGGCTTGAAAGGTAACTTACAGGTGGAAGTGTTCCCACATATCTGCTGCCCTTGTCCTTCTGGATGTTAGTGTTTGAAGGTTTGGAAGGTGCTGTCTAGGAAGCCTTGGTGAATTTTTGCCATGCATCTTGTAGGTGGTACATACTGTTGCTACTGAATGGTGGTGGTGGTGGTGGTGGTGGAGAGAATGGATATTGTGGATATGATGGAAATTGTCTTGGAAGGTGTCAGCCTTGTTGAGTGTTATTGGAGTTGCACTCAGCCAGGCAAGTGGGGAGTATTCCACATCACACTCCTGACTTGTGCCTTGTAGATGGTGGACAGGTTTAAGGGGAGCCATGCAATGAGTTATTCCTGCAAGATTCCTAACCTTTGACTTGCTCTTGCAGTCATTCTATTTCTGTGACTAGCCTAGTTTAGTTTCTGGTAAATGGTAGCCATTAGAATGTTGAAAGTGGGAGTTCAGCGATGGTAACGCAATGGAATATTAATGGGTGATGATTGTATTCTCTTTTGTTAGAGACAAATCATTGCCTGGCATTTGTGTGGCATGAATGTCTTGTTAGCCCAAACCTGGATGTTTTCCTGATCTTGCTGCACTGTGATATTTTCATATATTTTTACTATTTGTCATATTTTATAATTTTTGCATGATAAACCTCACAGGGTAATTAATGTTCCATTTAAAATTTAATTTCTTCTTGTAGTCTGCTGTTTTTTTTGTGTACAGTGTTTTGCCTTCTTTTTAGCAAAGCTGTGTACATGCCTTATTTATCCCAGAACAAAGCCAGAGTGAAACCTGTTGGGCTGGAGAGTGGCCACTCACCTGCACAACGTATGGGGGATTTTGTCTCTGAATCAAAATACAGTCCTATTAGGATTATAAAATGTAGCTAATCATGTACCTTTATTCTCTACATTTTTGTTCTTTTAGGGTTATGAATGAAAGAACATCAAAAGTCTTAATCCTTCTATCTTGCTGAGAAGTTTAGTTCCCATGGTGAAATATTGCCATTGACGTAGCGACTTTGGCTGTATTAGAAGATAAAAGCATCATCAGTGGACTGTGTAACGCAGAGCACAGTATTGCATTGTATTCGCATCATGACTTCAAATGGAATTCAAACAACGTTGCTCATCATGTTGCTATGTGAAGTATCTGCAGGTGAGCAATTTGTTACAGATGTTTTGAAAACTGTTTTGAATTTTTTTATTCTTATTTTCATTTTTGTATATTAAGACTCACCACAGGATCCAAAATGTTTCCAAGACCTCCAAATTGTGAATTTCCACCTTAATCTCTCCTCTCACGTCAGTGTATAGGTTTTTAAAATTCAAACTTAGTTCAACTCATCACTACTTGTTACAGAACTGTAGAAAATTACAGCACACAGACTATTTAACCTATGATGTCAATCTGCTCTCACAAAGCAATCAAAATCATTCTTTTAAAGCTCCCACCACGAAATTATCTCTCCATGGCTTTGGATTTTCCTCTTCTTCAATTACTTATTACTGTTATCTTCAAATTTGTCAAGTAAGTTATCTGTCATTAACCTGCCCTCCAGTTTCCTACATAATGGATCATAGAGGTATTCAAAATTCAAATTGTTAATTTATCATTACTCGTTAGATAATGTTAGTTCCTCTCCAAGCCACACTCACCATCCTTACTTGGAATTATATTGCTGTTCCTTCACTGCTGCTGGGTCAAAATCCTGGAACTCTTTCCCCAACTGCATTGATTCCATCTGTACTAAATGGAGTGAATTTCAAGAAGGCATCTCAAGGGCAATTAGAGATGGGCAATAAATACTGATACAGCCAGCAAAGCCCATATCCCTTGAATGAACAATTTGAAAAAAAGCTGATGTCGAAAAGAGAAACACAACACACCACAAAAACACAAAAAAAACATGAAAATGAATTTGTTTTCTGATATTCCTGTTAGTGATAACTTTAAAGGTTGAAAAAAATGGAAAGGGACTTAAAAAATTGGGTTGGAAATGCCAAACTTTCCCACCCACAGTACCTCTGAAATATCCACGACTGAGTCATTGAGCTTTCTTTGTGCTCCTTTCTCTAGTCTAAGAGTGCAGGAGCTGAGTAGACACTGCCAACACTTAAGTTAGCGTCCCCAGAAGTGTTTTGGCTGCAGGTAGGCCTTTTCGCTGTTGGTCAACTACCCACTAACTTCTGTGGGAGGGTAGAGAAGGAAGACCACCTTAGGCCCCAATCCCCTGCACATAAAATTCTTCTCTAAGTTGCATTTAATAACTAACTACTAGAAGTGACATGCTAAGTTTATTTTGCCCATCTTTCCTTTTCATTGACATCCGATGTCACCAAGACAAGTTTAGTACCAGATTTGGTTTATTTGATATGTTGGTCCAGATTTCAAACAAACAGATCTGTCTTAAGTCAGTATGTTTTGACTGCGCTTTTAATATATACGTAGATACAACCATGACTGCAGTCAAGAGCCAATCTACTAAAACCTGTAAGATAGAAACCGCACAATGGCATAATACATTCAATAAGCTCTATGTCATTAAGTAAGATACTAGAGTTCAAATCCAAACCTCTGCTAATATCTGATGTGTTTGATTATCTTGGCATCCATGCCATCACAATACCAAGATGCCTTATGCCTGGAACGGAAAGGAGGGGGAGGTGAGAGGAATTACTAAAATAAATAAAAGTCAGCACTTCAGGCTCTATTAACTTGTAAACTGAGGCTCAATGCATCAGTTCATCTATAAAAATATCTATATTGACCTAAAATGAAGTTAGGTATTACAGATGCTACCAGTTATAAAAATGATATAAACTGTGCAATATTATACTGCATGGTTATTACAATGAAAATAATCTCATGCAGTGATATGCAAACTGTTAGAAGTGATTGGATGATGAGACAGAGACTGGGCGGAATCGCCCGTGCAGTCACCTTTCATTAAACAATTAACTTGTTTAGGAAAGAAAAACACTGAAGACCATACCTTGATTTTTATAATTCTGTATTTTAAAGCTGCGAAACAGAACCAAAACAATTTCTAGAAGATGCAAGATTTTTTTGAGCACACACTGTTGAAATAAGAAGCAAGGTATAATTATGATCAAAATCTTGTCACTTTATTTCAGGCCTTGGAATAGAGCCAGAATGCATCACTTAAATTTGTAAATATGCCTTGCAGTTTTTTTTTCAAGGAAAAAAATGCTCTAGATCTTGAAGGCTTACTGGACCCAAAACATTAACTGTGATTTCTCACTACAGATGTTGCCAGACCTGTTAGATTTTCCAGCCATTTCTGCTTTTGGTTTTAGATCTTGGGCTCAATTTTGGCTAGCAGTCAAAACTCATATTGGTTTTGCCTTTTTTACCTGTTTCACAGTTAGGAACATTAGGAACAGGCATTGAGCTTGCTTCACAATTTATTCCATTTTTTTTAGTTTTGTTCATGGGATTGCTGGCTAAACCAGCATTTATTCCTTAGCCCTAATTGTACTGGGGAAGGTGGCAGTTAACTGCCTTCTTGAACTGATGCAGTCTGACCATTACAGTGCTGTTATTCACCCAGTGATAGTGAAGGTACAGTGATACAGTTCCAAGTCAGAATGGTGTGTGGCTTAAAGGGGAGCTTGCAGTTAGTGGTGTACCCATACATCTACTTCACTTGCGCTTCTAGGTGGTAGAGGTTGCAGGCTTGCGAGATATTGTCAGAGATGTCCTCCTCGCCCTTTTGACCTTTTAAAGAGAGAATGAGGGGTGACGATATCTACAACAAATTCAAAACATCCGTGCTTGAGATAAACCCAGCAGTTAAGGAATTTGTTTCCATCACAACTGGTGCACCAACCGTGCTTAGTGCAAATGTGGACTTTATTGCATTTTGCAGAAATGATCCTGATTTTCCCCTATTTTGTCAATTTATTATTGACAATTTATAATTCACCAGCAAGCATCGGTGAATAAAGTAATGACCTTCAAATGCAATGAAAATTGTCATTTAAGATTGTAAACTTGATATCAGCATGAGCCCTTCAGCACTGCTTGTTTAAAATCCTTATTCAACAAACTTAATGTTGCTCCTTGTGAACTGAGCAACCATGTTGGTGTGTAGCAGTTAAGTTGAGGGAAGGTCCTACAAAGATTTTTAAATGTGATGTCTTAAATGTCACTTTTCTTAAATCGAGGAATGAGATGTCCAGTGAGCTGTCAGGTAATGATTGGTTGCTCAACTTCGAGTCCCTTAAAGAAATAACTTGAAAACTGAATTGTGAACTTCAGGGAAAGGACAGAGACTTAGCACATCCATACCTTTTGAATGCATTCAAATTGAAACTGGGTCAGCGGTCCTCCTACATAAAAGAAAATGCTGCAACACTTTCTGAGTCACATCAGAGGTAAAGAAAAATGGATCCACCGACAAAATTTCTGTGCATACCTGGGATATTACAGGAATTCAAAAAGCAATTTCAGGAATTTCGATGTGATGAAACAAATTGTCATGTTTGTCTTGAATCCATTTCTTCAAGTAGACATTGGTGGTTTGGTCACCAAATGTATCAAATGTTTGATTTACAAAGGAGTGGAGTTGAAATGGAGATGATTACAAAGCAAACTGGGAGGCCTGAAAGTCCGATCAAGGAACAGCAATTTTGTGGGGACTTTAGCTGGAAAATCCCCTACTCTATCATCCTGTGCTTTTTTAATGTGAAATTCTGACTCCACATACCTCTGACAGTGATCTTTCAAATGAGGATAATGAAGTCCAAGTATCACACCAGCCTCGCCAATCGGAAGCTACTGTTGAAGATGACACACGGTGCTGCCACTTTGCGTTGGTGGTAAAGTGAGTGAATGTTAAAGGTGGTGAATAGTATTTCAATAAAGTAGCCTACATTATTGACTAGATAGTGTCAAGTTTCCTGAATATTGTTGGAGCGGGTGATCCATTGTACTCCTGACGTGTAGGTGATGGAGAGGCACTTGGGAGACAGGAATTGAGTCACTTGTCACAGAATTCCCAGGTGCTGACTTGCTCTTGCAGTCATTGTATTTATCTGCCTGGTCCAGCTCAGCTTATGGTTGTTGTCAAACCCGGGATGTTGATTTTAGGGGATTCCGTGATCGTAGTTCCTTTGAACGTCACAAGGTGATGGTTGGGTTATCTTGCTAGAAATAGTAATTACGTGGCACTTAACTGTCAAGTAACATTTGTACCACACTTCTCGATGCTGTCCTTGCTTTTCTGAATATGGACAGAGACTGCTTCAGTATCTGGGAAGTTATGAATGATGCTGAACATTGTGCAATGATCAGTGAACGTCCTCACATCTGACCTCTTTATTGTGGAGGGAATGTCAATGAGCAGCTGCAGATGTCTGTGTCTGGGACACTACTTTGAGGAGCTATGGGCTGTCGTGGTACAGTGGTTGTTTCCCCACCTCTGAGCCAGGAGGCTTGGGTTCAAGCCCCACCTGCTCCAGAGATGTGTAATAACATTTCTGAATGGATTGCTTGGAAAATTTCTGTCCTGAGGAACTCCTGCAGAGTTGACCCAGAGCTGAGATGACTGACCTGCAACAACTATAACTGCCTTCCTCTAGGCAAGGTTTGACTTCAACTAGGAGGTGTTTATTTACCTTTTGATTCACAAAAGTGCTGGAGAAACTCAGCAGTTGAGTAGGGAGAAACAATTAATGTTTTGATTATTTGTGAGGAACAACATCTTGGATCTCATGGTCAACTGAGAGTTGGAGCAGATGATAAAGAAGTGAACAATGCGGCTGAGCCTAAACAGGCTGCGCAATAGTATAAAATAAGTAGCAAGGGACAGAGTGAGTGGCATGGACAGAAAATGGAAGCTGTGGCCTTTGCATTGTTAAGATGGATATCAGACAAGCTATAGGAGTCATGAGAAGATCATGGAGAAGTGAAGCAGTGTGTTACTGGAATACTTGCGGAGATGAAGTCTGTTTGGTAATGCAGCTGAAAAAAAGCAAATTGCAGTTGAAGAAGGAACCAATAATGGATTCTGTTGAAATTTTAGGCTTGATGGTGTGAGGGTGGGGGAGAAAATACATTGTTAGAAATGTTCTGAACATGGTGGCTTTAAAGGAGAAAAAGAAATTTGCATGACTGGAAAGATCTTATTCAGA